AAGTAGAAGAGAGAGCACACTAAATACTAACAGAACAGTATGTAATTATTTTGTATCCTTTACCTGTAAGGCTTGGAATACATGCTCTGGAAGAATAGTCTTTTTCAACTGACGATTGCAAATTTCATTTGCCTCTGATGAAACTAAATGAATAAACTCTACAAGGAAGGCAATCCAAAAGATATAATTAATTACATGTGCATACTGTTGTAACTGAAATGTACAGTACATAGTATACCACTGCTCACTACATGTTGATCTGCAGCATACAGATCAACATGTAGTGAGCAGTGGTATACTGTAACATACATGTACTGTAGTATATTGTTCATCAAATAATTTATATCCACGAGAATTATTTTATTTCATACAATATGTATATAAATTCAGAGCATAATTTTAAGAACTGGAGGGTGGACTGAAGAGTGTATTAAATTCTTTTGGAAAGAGGAAAAACTGAGAAGATAGCAATTTTCCAGTGTTCTTAACACAGAAACTGTTTTTTTTTTTAAAGTTAAGTTAGTTTTTTTTTTCAAATAATTGCCTACCACTCAGGCTCCCTGTACCCCTTGCTCTCACCTCAACCTGCTCTGCTTGCAAGACTTCAAGATTTGTGTTATTACAGTTGGACCCCACTTATTCAAGCACGGTTTTCAAATTCCTTGTTACCTCAAGCTCAAATCCATTTCCCATGGATCTGGCTTTCAGTCGTTTACTATCAGCTATTTTGTTCTCCTGCCATTTCACACTGTTGTTTTTGTTTTCCCTGAGAGTTTGAAATAGTGGGGTTCACCTGTATTTATGGGTAATGTAAAGGTTAAGCCTGTATACAAGCCAAGTGGCCCATCAGGATGGAGCTTATCCCAGTTTCTGTAGCATGAAGCAGCTAGGAGTATTTATACTCCCTCCTGGATGAGATGCTAGTCCATCACAGGGTTACTCCTAGGATAAAGTGTGCCGATAGCCATTTATCCACTTGGGTGGAGAGAGGCACTGTGAGAGTAAAGTGTTACGCACAAGAACACAACACAATGTCCCCAGCCAGTGCTCAAACCCGGACTGCTTGATCCAGAGACGAACCCACTAACCACGAGGCCACCACACCTCTAACAACTGTATTTATGGTTGTTCATTATATTCAAGTTTATTTGAAAGCCAAGTGCAAGTCACTAACCTGTACAACAGTTTAGAATAAGTTCTCTTGCATCATTGGACACCCTTACATTTGGTATCATCTCCTTGATCATCTTGTTAACAGCAGCTGTTATGCAAAAAAGTGTTTCACATGTCTACAGTAGTAATACACTAATCTGAATTGAATAATAGTAACAGCATAATTGAGTGTAATTAATTACATGTAAGCAGGCATTTTTAATGTACATGTATGTTATGGGCTCTCCTCTCCTCCGCAGAGGCCTCTTTTGTTCTCCCTTGACCATGTAGACTAGCAGTTTTGAGGCTGGGGAGGGGATGTACATGTAGATTCAAATGCTAGTAAATGGGTACATACCCATGCATACAATTTAGCTGCAATTTAGGATATTGAAATTTAGGATATTGGAAGAACTCTTAAGTTTGCACCAGTCACAATTGCTGGTCACTGTAGGTAATTATAAAAAAAATTGCCAAAGGAAGTAGAATTTTCTTTTTTTACATTTATTTTTATTAATACACAATAGCCAACAAACTGTAATGATGTGTCAGAATCGGATTTACCTAGCCCCACATAAAATGAATAAGCAACCCTTCTGGGCACTCACAGTACTGTATTTGTGTATGTATAAGATCAAAATTATAAAAACTACAATCGCTATACCATCTTTAAGTTGAATGATAGAAC